AAAAAAATTTGAAAAAAAACTATGGTGTTTCAAACAATTAAACAAAACCTTCTGAAGTTTAAGAAAAACAGAATTCAATTTTCATTAAGAGATATTTTGGTGCCATACAAATATGACCATACAAAGTTTGATGGCTTTGTACGGATTTTTTTGGTGCGTTTTACATTTTTGTTAGAGGCGCCAAAACTTGAATAAAGATTATTTTTAATACTAAAAGCCTTTAAAAAAAAGTTGATAAAAGTTGATGAAGTAAATGCCTTTTTTCAAAATTTTCTCTTAGTCAGCGATTCACGGGGCTACAAAAACATTTGACGTTTAACCAAAAACACTGAAATTTTATAAATTTTACTCTCTTATATCTTTTTGTAGGCTTAAGCAAGCACCTTGAGGTTTTTTGCATCAGTTAGTGTTACTCAACCTCTTTTTAGCTATATATAAAAAGTACTATGTTTCAAATGGCTTCATTTAAATATTATCAATACCTTGAGACCACTTTTGCTAAAAAAAGTTGCCGCGGACACGTTTTTTCAAAAGTAGCTTTTGAAGGTAAGATTTCATAAACACTAAAACACATCCAATTTACATGAAAATTTCCAAATAGATTTAAAAATGAATGAGAAATTGAATAGAAAGGGAAACCTTTTTCAAATTTATACAAAAATTTTTAGTTCTCAACGTTTAAAAACTTTAAGGTCAATTTAGTTAAAAACAAAACTTTTTTTAAAAAGGTTCCCTGTCCGAAATGCAAGTGTAGCCTTTCCTCTCTCTAAATCAAGTATTTATTTAAGTTTTTTTAAAGATTTAGTGCTTAGGAATTTTGTTTTAAAATTATGTATGCATTATATGCATTTTTATTTCGCGTATTTTATGACGTTTTTTGTTTTGATTTTTGCGTTTGTTTACTAAATTGAACAGTTATAAAGTTAAGAAAATAAATAAATTTTTGCGTTAAATTTATGAAATGATGTCATTTTTTTTTTTTTTTTTACTTACTTAAAAACTTAAATAGGAGCTAAAAAGGACTGTTTATTTCATGAAAATAATATATAACTGCTTAAAATGTTATAAAAATCTTTGTTCTTTCCATCATTGATAAAAGAACAAGATTTTTATACCATTTAATAATCCTTATTAAGGATTATTTCTTATTAGCACCCTTAAATTATTTCTTATTCACATCTTTAAATTAAGGATTAATAAGGATGTGAATAAGAAACAGTCCTTATTAAGGCTTAATAAGCCTTATTAAGTCTTAATATAAGTTATTTCTTATTCACATCCTTATTAATTTTAATTTAAGGATGTGAATAATAATTTAAGGGATATAAAATAAGAAACAGTTCTTTTTATAAAGATTATTTCTTAATTACATCCTTATTTAGATTTAGTTTGGTTTAATTGGTTAATCTTAAAAAAAACAATACTTTCTAACATCTTTTTTGTTGACAATTCTAAAAATTATATTTTGGCAAGACTGCTTGATATTTAATTTTATATTCATTACATTTTCTATTAATTTATCTATTTTGTAAATAAAGGTGAATAGTTCAGGAAATTTAAGGCAATTAATCAAATCGCCAGATAATAAAGTTAGTTGGTGATTAAAATTGGAAACTGGGAGATTCTATTTATAACTTGAGTTTCAAGAAGAATGGACTTGATAAAGACTTGTCTACAATAGAAGTTTAAATAACAAAGCTTTAAAAAATATCATTAGCAGTTTTCAAGTTTAAATCAGAAAATAAACTTTTAGAAGCAGAAACATCTTCTTAAACAAATTCTCTAGAATTTGTTCCAGAAGATATTTGGGTAGAAGTTGGGATAGAACAATTAACAGAAGGTAGCAAATCATCAACATTGTTAAATTGCAAGATGGCTTTTTAAATATGCAAGATTGACTTTTTGTTTTAACTATCTGTATTACTAAAAACTGATGTTCAAGGAAAAAAAACTAGACAAATAAAATTTTTTTAGAGCACCTAGGAGCAATAAAATGCTATATTGTTGTAAAAAAAATACCAACTTAGCAATGATTTGTATAAGTTTTCCACGAGAGTTTAGTACAAAAAGATAATCAGAAATGATGTAAAGTAAAGACACAGTAAAAATGTTGCCATTCATCAATATAGGAATATCAACAAGATTGCTAAGACTTTTTAAAGACTACTATAAACACCATATCATCCAGAGCAATAAAATGTGCCTCACTTTCTCTACGTAATTATTATTTCAAACCTTTCTGTAATGACAGTCAACAGGTCAGCTCCAAATTGCGACCATTCAAATCATTGACGAAATAATAATAATAGACATAATATAAAAATAGACAAATACAACATATATCATAAGAAACATATGAATCGAGACAATTCATATGTTTCTTATGTTATCGAAGTATAAAGCCACCTGTGAGCTTTTCAGGAGGAACATTAATGTTGCTTTTCAACTGTGAGTTTTTCAAGATGATCATTAATGTTGGTTAAAAACGGTAAAGGGCTGAGGATAGAAGTTAACATTGTTAGCTAAGTATTGACACTACTGTGAATTTGCAGCGTTTAGTTCCACAGGGTCTGTATGTTTTTTGATTGTGATATTATTGTTGTGTTATTATTAATGTTGTTGTTTTTTATCTTAGGTGTTGTCAATAGTTCACATAAACATTCTCAAAGAGTAAGTTTCTTATTTTATGCTTATTTAGTTTTAATTGTTAATTTATATTTTTTTTTTTTAATTTTTAACTTTTAAAACAAATTAACAAATATATTTTTAAAATTATTGTGTATCTGTGTTTTTAATAATAACTTTATTACACTTTTGGGTAGAGTTTCTGCTGTTACACCTCCTATTGCTGATATAAGTACTAAAAAATTCAGGAAGTTCAATTGCTATAACTTATTTAAATATAATCATTTAAATTTAAATTATAACTTTATTTATGAACCTTCTGTCTGTTAAATAAGTAGTTCTAAATGTTTCAGATAGATTTCAATGCTAAGGGCATTGAAATCAAGTGTAATATACTAATCGGTCTTTAAATTAAGCAATAGTTTTAAACAGATGAATTAATTGGATTCAACGATCCTTTATGCATATTTGCATGGAGTTTTTATAATATAACTCAAAATTTTATTCTCCAAGACTAGGTAAATAAGTAAAAACACTTTAGTCTGTAAAATTAGCAATTCTAGATAATCCCGACAAGTGTAAAAAAAATTATGGCATTTAATTTTCCTATAGTTTTGTATCCCTAACAAATATTTCAAGTCAAACATAATAACAGTTGGGAATTATGAAATATATTCAAAGTCAAATTGCTCAATTGGTTTGAGCAATCCTTTTGCAGTAATTTACGGACCGGTCTGTGAATTGTGCAATAATTTCAAAATGATGTAATTTTCAGATTCCATGATTCCTTTATGCATATTTGCATTTGGTAATTCTAATTTTTGTTCTTCATTACATAATTAAATAAGTAAAAAAACTTTAGTCAAAAGTATTAAATGTATTTAAAGTTGATATGCCCAATTGGTTTGTACATCCTTTTTTCTGTAATTTACTGACCGGTCTTTAACTTATATTATAATTTCACTGACAGGTCTGTAAATTATGAAATGATGTTTTTTTTTTTATTCCATGATTCCTTTATGCATGTTTGCATAGTGTAATCGTAATTTTTTTCCTCATAACACAATTAAATAAGTAGAAACCCTTCAGTCTGTAAAATGAACGATTCTGGATAATTCCGAAGATTTAATAAAAACTGGATCACTATATAAAATTTCAAGTCAAATGTAATAAAGATTCACAAATATCAAAAAATTTAAAAAATATCAAACTATTTAAAGTTGATATGTTTTATTTGTTTGTACAGCCCATTTTCAGCAATTTATTGACCAATCTTTAATTTATGCGATTATTTTACTGGCCGAACTGTAAATTATGCAATAGATTTCAAATGATGTATTTTTTGGATTCCATGGTTCCTTTAAGCATATTTGCATGGTATAATTATAACTTGACTCCATATTTTATTCTCCAAAAATTAAAAAATAATATAAAAACCTTCAGGCTGTAAAATAGATGATTCTGGACAATCGCGATCAAAACTTTTTTAATCGTAAAACTAAAAAAATTTTGGTTTTCTATTTTCTTATAGTTATTTGATCACTGTAAAAAATTTCAAGTCAAATATAATCACAATTCAAAAGTTATTAAAAAGTCAGTATGACCCCAAAAAAATATAAATTAGTAAAAACTCTCAGTCTGTAAAATAGGTGATTCTGAACAATCTCGACAGATTATTAAAATAAAAATTTAGAATTTTATTTTTGTATAGTTGGTGGATCACTATGGAAAATTTCAAGCCAAATGAATAAACGGTTCAAAGGTTATTTAAAAGTCAGTATGACCCAAAAAATATATAAATTAGTAAAAACCCTCAGTCTGTAAAATAGACGATTCCGGTCATTCCCGACATATTTTTTTAAAAAAAAATTTGGAATTTTATTTTTTTATAGTTGTTGGGTCACTGTTAAAAATTTCAAGTCAAATGTATTAACGGTTTAAAAGTTATTCAAAAGTCAATAATACTCTCATTTTCGGTGCCATAACAAATTTTCCGTACTTAAGCCCTATACCTTTTGTCAAAAAATCATAAATTTTTCCACTACAAAAAGTTCAAAAACTTTTGATCCGCTTAACTTCAAAGGCCAAATGACCCCTCATTTTTTAGATCAAGCCAAGCTTTGTACAATGACATTAATTATATTTGAATATTTGATATATAAAAAAATCGTCTGGAATGGCTAACTTAGTAAGTAGAGTTGATACTAAATTTAACCATCAAATATAATATATATATATTATATATATATATATATAATATATATATATATATATATAGTATATATATATATATATATATATATATATATATATATATATAAATATATATATATATATATACTATTTAATTTTTATTTACTTTTATAAAAACTTAC